GAAGCCCCCGGCCCCAGCACGTTCTGCCGGTCGGGTTCACATCAAAGCGCCGGGGTTTTAACCGTGCTCCAGACGCTCCCTCCCATTTCCTGCTGGATTCCCGTCTCGCTCCCTGTGCCCGCATCAGCAAAACAGAGTGTAAAAATAGAGGCTGGGCTTCACCAAAACACAATAGTAAATTGTTCCCCGGAAAGGTCACTGGTGAGGCTGAGAATAGCTCCAAGAGCAGGGGAAAAGGAATGTCTACCGGGGGGACAAGTTTGAAAGTGCCTGCTGGACCCACCCCAGGAGGTTTCCTGCATCCTCATCAGTGGTGCAGGTCCCTGCTGTGGCCCCTGTGGTCTCAAAGCATCCTCATCCTCTCCCACCCACCTCTAGCCTTCTCTCCCATCCCAGTTTTGGGATGGAAACTGAAAAAAAAACAAAAAAAAAAAAAAAAAAAAAAAAACAAAAAAAAAACCGGACCAAACCAAAACTGAAAGAAGAGGCAGGAGGACCAGAGAGAAAGAACAGGACTGGGAGGAGAGACAGGATCCTGCTCGCTGCTCCTCTCCTTGCTGCGTGTGACAGCGCGGTGTCCCCTGGGCACCACTGGCCGGCTGCAGCCTTTGTGTGGCGCTGGGAATGTCAGGGATGAGCCCCGGGATGAAGAGCAGACCGAGCAGTCCCAGAGAGCCATAAATTACTGCCTCCTGTTGTCACTTGGCCTGTCACAGCGAAGAGGAGAAGCTTTCTCATCGGCTGCCGGGGTGGGAATGTTTGGGTCCTGTCGTTTCCGTGAGCATATTTGATTCAATTATGTGGGAATGCCCTTAATGAAGCAGGTCCTTGCTCCTGGCTTCGGCTGTGTTCCCAGGCAGGGCTGCCAGTGCAGGCTGCCCTCAACATGGCTTTGCCAGAAAAGCTGTAATTAAAAACAGATAATGAGGCTGGAAAATAGTAGCTGCCCCTAATTTGGGCATTTGTGATTTTGAGGCTTTGTGTTTCTTCTTTCATCATTTTGGATATATGCAATCCTCCCACCTTCTCTCTGGTTTTTAATTCAATTTTATCTCAATGTCAAGTCCAGCTGTTCTCACTTCCCAGTGTCATCCATGCACTTGTAAGGGAAATTTCCTGCCACTGGAAGCCTGAATGCCACTCAATTCCTGGAGCATTACAAAACTGGATGAACAAAACACCTTTAAATGCATCTGTTTCAAGTTTGTGAAGAAACTGCTATTTGTCAGAAAATTTCCTGCCCTGCAGATCAGAACCCCTTGTGGTGCCATCAGTGAGAGATGGACCCCAGCACTGTCCCAGCTGAGGGCAATGCCACCCATGACACCCAGGCTGTTTCCTTCCTGCTGCACCAATCCCTTCTGTGCAGTGGCAACCAGGATCTCAAGGTGCTTTCCCCAACTTTCTTTTCTGTTTTGCATGAACAGAGGAAAAAAATGGGTTGGGCTGGGGTTTTCCTCCATATATTTGTATCCACAGAACATTGCACATCACCCTTTGCAACAAAACATGATTGTAAAAAGAAATTACCATTTGATGAGAAATGAATTAAATTTTCCATTAAAAGACAAGAATGGGAAGGGCTTTTGAAAGTTACTTTAAAAAAAAAAAAAAACCAAACCAAAACACAAAGGCAGGTGAATGTCTGCTACCTTCTGTGACATTTGAGTTTTGGTGGCCAAGCAGCAACAAGGTCCAGATGCTCAGGAGAAAAAGATGATGGAAGAAAGATGCTTCTTCCAGCATGGCCAGCACGAAGCCACCAGCTGTGGACACAGCCCTGGAGCCAGCAGAGCAGCACTCAGGGTCTCCCCACCACCGGGGTCAATCAGGAGTGATGCACACTGACCATCCCACCACGGAGCAGGTGGCACTGGAAGCCTCTCAGCCCTTTCCATAGGTTATAGAACCCATAAATCTGCACAGGGTTGTTTGAAGCCTTCACCCTGCAGGTGTTTTTCCCTTAAGGATGTTTTTTCCTTCGCTGGTTGCAAAATACTTGTGGCCATCAAGGATATTTTACTTGAAGAAAGCAAAAAAGCAGAAGGGGGAGGTGAAAGGAGAATTGTCCAGGCAATGGAAGGAGGGAGGGAGGGGGGCAGGAGGTGGGAAGCAGAGATAACTGTGGGTGAGCTATCAGCTCGTGCTGGGCTGGCAGCAGAACAGGAGACAGGGGTTAAACCAGACGTAGAGCCACCATCTCCCAACTGCAGATAAACACCCAGCAGCCACACACTGCCCACACCTGCCCCACGCCTTGTCCCAGAGCCTGGGATGAAACCAGCCCAGCCCTGGCTGCTGGGGCTTTGCTCAGCCTGGCTGTGGAGGGGACATCCCCATGTCCCTCATCTGGGGCTCTGGACAGTGCTCCCTGCACCCCCAGGGTGGAGCCTGAGAAAGGCTCTCCTCTTCCATCTGGGGGAAATTTCACCTAGAAACCTTAAAAGCAAGCCTTGGCTCCCAGGCTGGTGTGGAGGAAGGGTTAGCAGCTAAGCTTTTGTGGGGAGGCTATAAAAGAGCAAGGGATGCTTTAAAGGGTCTGTTGAAAAAGGCAACCATCTGTAATTCATAGAAATTAAAGAGAAGAAAATACTTAGGGTACCATTCCTGCTCATCTGCTCCGTACTCAGTGTGGTGTCAGCCACCATCAGCAGCATGGTGCTGTATATATATAATATATAAAATATAAAATATATATATATGTATACATATATACATATACATATACATATACATATACATATACATACCAAATGTATATGATATGTATATACACGTATAAATATATTTATAGATAGATACACACACACACACACATATATATACATATATATATATATATAACACACACATGTTCAATGGACCACTTAGCCTGTAAACACTCCCTAATTAGTGCTGTATATTTTTAAAAGCACTTAAGCACGTGGCTGTGATAATTTCTTTCTTTAAAAAGAGGAATTACTCTCGCTGCCTGTTAGGTCGTGGCCGAATGCCTGCCATGGTGCAAAGGGAAGTAGCGTGGCCCCCAGCTTGCACAGCCAGCCTCGCCAAAAGAAGGGAAAAGGCCGCTGGAGCCTTGGGGGGACCTGCAAGGGACAGGCTGGGGTGAGCTGGGGGTGGCTGGTAACGCTCGCCTGCGGCGGGGCATTGCTTCACCGCCCGCCTTCCTTCCTGCCGGCCCTGCGCGCTCTTCCCCCCGCCCAGGCTGGACCGTGTGAGTCAAGCAAGTTTAAAAAAAAAAAACACAATTGGCAGATCCTTTTGCAACGTTTTTCGCTGCCCGTTTATGTCTTTGGCTGGCTGGGAATGGGCCACCCTGGTGTCTTCACCCCACGACACTCAGGGATGGAATTCTGAAGTAATGATGGATTCGAGTGGTGAGGTGGGACAGAGGCAGACAGCGAGTGGAGGCTGCTTTGTAAAACTTTATTTAGAAATATTCTTGATATATTCATTATATATATATATTTATATATACACACACATTACAACAAATGTGTTTGCTAAATAGCACATCCACAGTGGGTTGAGACTCAGGGTACCAGGTCTGGTTACTTCATTTCTGCAGAAAAAATGCAGAAATCCAAGGGGAGGGTGGCAGAGAAAGGGATGGGGCTGAAAAAATCAAAATTCGTAAGGCAGGAATTCACTCACACGGTACGACATTGCCCCAGAGCGCTGCTCCCAACAGGAATGGGGGTGATGGTCCACACAGCGGGAGATGAAGCAGGCAGGAGGAGAGGTGGGCAGAGGAAATGTACCATTCAAATCACAATTAAAGTACAACTGTACATACCCCGGGGCACCTGCGGCACTCCCGGCAGGAGCCCGGTGCCTGGGGGCGTTTGGGGGTGCTGACAAGGTTGTACCATTTCCCCAGCTGTGCAGCTACCCAGAAGATACAGACAAGAAGCAATGGGTTCGTGTGGATGAGGGATTTCTGAGTATCGGCGAATTATTTTATTTTCTCGCGTCAGGTTAATAACAAGGGTGTAAAACCCCCACATACCCCACCCAGGGCTATTTGGGAACCAGGAACAGCTTTAGCTGTGTGACAGCACTCCCCTACTCCCCACCCAGCCCCGAGGGTCCCCTGGCAGCCCCCTTGCTTGTCTCTCCTAGCCCTGGCACCAGTACCAGTCCAAACCTCCTCCTCAGCATCGCCTCCTCACCCCCAGCACCTTCCCAGCCCTGCAGGTAACCCTCTCCAGTAAGAACCCCCTGCACAGGCAACCCAGACCCAAGAATCTTCCTCCTTTTCCACAATTTAAGATGGGGGAGATTGGTGCTTTCCAAATATTTGGGGGCTATGCTGGAAATACTTGCATGGGCCAGGATCCCTTCCCAGACAACTATTCTGCCTAATATGCCAAGCCACATGCCAGACTCTTACCTATTATTTACAAAGAGGCATCAAAACCAAGCAGGGATGGAAATGACAGGGCTCTGCATTAAGCCTGGACGGGCTTGCAGACACCCACTCATATTCTCTGTGTTCCCTTGTACCTCAGCATCCTTGGGAAGGCATGAGTGTGGTGGAAGGTGTCCCCACTCAGAAAGATTTATTCCCTTCCAAAGGATGTTTGTGTGTGGGGTTGGGGTTTTTTTTCTGCTGTATCATGGTAGGGATTTCTGTGCTTGACATGTCTGCAGAGGGTGGGGATGGGCTGGGGCAAATGCTCCATCAGGCCACAGCTGGGAGCAGCAACTCCCCTGTCCTCCCGCTTCCCAAACGTCCTCCTGGGGGGCAGCAGGGTCAGGGGATCAGCTCAGTCACAGAGCTCAGTTTTGCAGCAATTTGAGCACTCGGGAGTGCAGGCTAATCCCACCACTGTTTTTACTGCTTTCCCCCAAGATTCAGAGAGGCTGTGGACTCCCACCAGCCTCGACAGGTGAGGACCTTCCTAACTCCAGAATAAATCCAGCACTATTGTCCACACTGGGGGCATTGGCACAGCTGAAACACCATTTCACAAAATAAAACCAAAAAATTCAAAGCATACCATCAAAAAACCTTTTTATAACCCTATGTACACGCACACTGTTGATACATCATTGACTCCTTTTGCCCTTTTTTTTTTGCTATTTTGAATTTAAAAATCCCCCAGTCCAAAGAGATATTTCACTAGCAAATATTTTCTTCCTTTACCAACTCTGAAATTCATCTTTCCCAAGAGAAGCTCTGGCCCCACAGAAACCACTGGAAAAACTCTGGGAGACCACAGCAGGCTTAAAATTCACCTGCTGAGTGTTACCAGCAGAAGGATCAGGGACTGGGGGGTGGCAGAAAACACCTATGTACCTTTTCATTCAGTGGATACTGCATGACAGTGTTAAACGGAAGTAATCCCACATCATAAATACAACAAGCCCAAACAATCCAAAATTAGACAGAAGAGAAAGGAAGAAAGGGAAGGGAAAAAAAAAAAAGAAAAAAGAAAGAAAAAAGGGGAGAGAAAGAAATAGTCTAAATCCTTTTAATAGTTCTTTTGCTGAGGGTATTTTTTCACCTCTTTAAAAAGATACAGTCAAAAGCTCTCGGACAACAGGAATATGTGGCCAAGCTCCTGCTCAGACCAGCTGGATGTGCCGCAGGCTGGAGAAGTGCTGCAGCACTGGCGTGATGCAGCAGTTTCCAGCACCATGTGGAGCTGGAAAGCGCCGGTGGCCTCCGTGGGCAGTGGGAGAGGAGCTCCACGTCTCACCCAGATGACCAAAGTCACCAAGTGGTCTGGAAACCCTCTGAACGCTGCAGAGGCGCCAGCCACCTCTCCTTCCCCTCCTCAGAGTCCCATCCCGAGCAGTTCTGTACAACGAAGATGACTTCAAACGCTTTTCTTCTTTGCACGGTCACGTACCTAAACCCCGAGCGTCCGTCTGGGTTGGCCTTGTCCTCAGCCAACGCGCCGGGCTGGGGAGAGCGGGCAGCCCGAGCCCCCAGGGAAAGGCAGAGTCACGAATCCCACAAGCACAAGTTCCAGCAGCTGCACAGCCAGGCCTGGCCTCTCCCCCGTGGCTCTTCAGGAGCAGCGAGGGGGTCATCACCGCTGCGCGTTGCCTTCTACGGGGAGGATGGCGTGGTGCAGGCTCCGCGTGTGCTTCGAATCCAGCGTCTCGTGCTCTTCCGTGAAGCTGTCCGGGCTCGCCGCTCCGTCCAAAGAGCTTCCACAGCTCGAGTTGGGAGACAGCATGTCCTGCAGGAGGTCTTCCTGGACTATCCCCGAGTCTTTGTTCACTTTGCCCCTTTGGTTTCCTTCTTCCTCCTGGTCGTTGAGCAGCTTGGCCAGGAAGTTGATGTATTTCATAGCCAGGCGCAAAATCTCGTTCTTGCTGAGTTTTTTGTCGGGCGGGTGGGTGGGGATGAGCTTGCGCAGCTCTGCGAAGGCCCCGTTGACGTTCTGCTGTCTCCATCTCTCCCGGCTGTTGGTGAAAATGCGGCGAACCACTTTCGTGTGAGGACCTGCAATTCCAACCACGCAGAATTAGGAGCTGGGCTTAACAAGTATTGCTTTGCTGAATCGGTCACCGCTTTGCAAATTAACTGACTGACTAATTTTAGTAAGGTTTAATCAGCAAGGCAGTGAAACAAAGGTTTCCAGCTGATCACATGAGCTGAGAAAGCCGTAACTTTGTTCAATCCAGTGGAAGGGAAAAATAGAGTTGCATCTCTTTGGATGTCTCCTCAGATATCAAAATTTACCTCTCCAAGGAAGAAGGCTTAGGCCATGATATGTGTGCAGAAGGCTGCTATAATTTTTTGATATCTCAACTAAACAACAAGGGTAACTCAGCAACAATGGTCCCGTTTGAAGTTTATCTCACTAGATTGCTTTATTTTCTATCCCAAAAATTGTCTAAAGGACATACCATTGGGACAGGAGGAAATTAGCTTGAGCTAATTAAGAGACTTTGACAACCCTGAGATCCAGAGGTCTTCCCTGCTGAGGGAGACCAGAGGCTTGCCAGCAGCCCTCTGAATGAAACAGGGTGTTGGGATTTGTGCCATGGCAATGAGGACAGGTAGGAAGTGACCACACTGACCCACGGAGTGAAGGCAGTGTCCTGCTGGAAGGGTGGTCACAGGTGAGCATGGAACAGCTTCACAGCTCACCTGAGGGCTGCCTGCTCTCTCTCCTCCTCACTGCCACAGGGCAAAAACTCCCTTTGACACTGATTGGAGAAGGGGCTCCAAGTTGCTGGAGGTGTCCATTTGACCTAACTACCTGTGACCTCCAATTACACCTTGGAATTTTACAGCCATGTTTCTGAGAGGGGATGCTACACAGGATGAAGGCACAAAGCACACCAATTCTCCTTTCAGCACATCAGGGCAACTCCTGGTGTACATGAGAAAAGCTTTGTCTCTGTGCTAGAAGAAACCCAAAAGCACATCTAGTGAAAAGTACTGTTCTGCAGGAGCAGCAGTGCTGTAAATCAGGATTGCAGGCCCTTGGGTCCATGGAAACCAGCTCACATGAGGGAACACTACCCTAACATGTTTTTATTATTACATCCTTCCCATCATCTCCTCCAGGAGACATCAACAATGGAAGGTCTCATCAATCTCATTAAAATCTGGAAGAATGACCAGGGCAGAAACTCCCATGGGATAGGAAGCATCACATACAGTGAAAATCATCACAGAGTGGGAAGCAAAGCCTTGCAGGTAACACATTGGTGAGATTCACCCCAAAGGACTGTGGAATTCCCACTCCCCCCATCTCTCCCCTGTATTCCCCACTCTGTGACACCTGCCTAACTTCTCCCTCCTGGTGGGAGCAAGTCCCTGGCCTTGGTGAGCAGTTTAAGCCACAGTTCTGACATCACCCAGTGGAACCAGCCCCCCAGGGCACATTTAAACACCTTTATTCTTTTCTAGCAAAACTCTTGGCTGCCTTGACTGTGGCACAGGAACCAAACATGTGACTTTTTATAAGTATCCTGGTCAGGCTGTACCTCAGCAAATCCCACCCTGCACAGCAGGAGAAGTGGAATCCCTCATTCCAGCTGATCAGACACCATCACACTTTCCTTCCTTTGGGGGAAGCTGAGTCCCTGCAGCCCGGCTCACCACAGAGAACACCCTGCACTGCAGGGTTTGCATGGGGACACGCTCCCAAGCAGCCAGTTCAAGCTGCCAGCTCCTCCAGTGTGTGAGCAGCCACACACCTCACTCCTCCTCATGGTGTGCTCAGAGCTGGGAGTCCCCTGAAGTCACAAACAGCCCCTGGGACGAGCTGGGGGATGCAGAAATGACAAAACCCTCTCTGACCTCTAGGATTCCAGTGTGATGCTTTAGTAAAGGCAATATTCACCCCCAAACAGCGCCTAGTGCCCTCTGTATGAACTAAGGCACAAGAGCTCGTGCAAAGGGAAGGTTTCTTGTCCCTGATGTGTGCAGCCTGCTATGCCACAGGATTGTGGGGAAGGGGGCAGGAACCAAAGGGACCTCAGCAGTGCTGCTAATTAAGCAGTGAAGAATGTGCTACATCCCACTAAAACAATATGACATTTTTAGCACTTTACTGCTCTTTCCAGACAAGAAAAAGCAACCGGTCTTGAATCCAGAGAGAGATGGGGCTCAAAAGCTATTTACTCCCATAAGGGTATGAGAAATAACCACATCTTGGATACTGCTCATTAAAAAATATCCTCAAGAGACTTTCAGTCTTCAAATATGTGTTTCTGTTCACTGAAAGTTGATGACTAAAAGACAGCTATTCATAAATTTGTCAGAAATTAGGAAAAAAAAAAAAAAAGACCTGTTCATTTTCATCCAAGGGCATTCAAATCAAGCTTTAGTATATAAAACAAATTCTGACACCACTCAAATTCTTGATTCCTGCCCCAACTGAATTAAACATATCTTTTAGAAAGATACCAGGTTTTGGCCAAAACATGTCAAGCAGTGGAGGAAATTAAAATGCCCCATAGCTGTGTTATAATAGAAAATCTACTCCTCATAAAAAAAACTTGCCTCATAATTAATTCAAGCAATCAGATGAGAATTTTTGCCTGGATTTTTTAATAATGAATTGACTGATGCTCTTTAAAATTAGAAATATGAGGAAAATTAATAAAAATATGATCTTCCAAAGTTCCAGGATATACTTTTTTAGAGATACTTTTTTGCATTTTTGTCTTCACTTCTAGTTATTTTTAAAGAAGATATTAAATGGAACAAAATTTCCATAAAATAGGTAAAGAACTACTACAAAAACCCCACCACTTATTCTCTCACAGAAAAAAAACCACAAAGTGTCTGGCAAGACTTTCCTGCCCTTCTGCAGCCCCCAAGGGCTGAGGACCCTCGAGAGGGCTGCTCCTGTGTGCCCTGGATGTCACCCAGCAGGTGCCCTCCAGAGCAACAAGCAAAGTGCCTCAGACCACACAGGTGCCTCAGCATGGGATGTACATCCCTACAAATTGTTCCTGTTTGCACAACATAGTCTGATACCCTTTTTCCCCTCAAAAAATGTTGAGTCCAATCTTGGAAATTCACATGAACCAGAACCTGCAGGATTGGGCCCAATCTGTACTCCTGCATCAAAACACATGTTCAGAAACTTGGTTACAACCAAGTATTTCTGTAATCCTCTAATACCTGATTTAATAGCAAGTCCAAAGCTTTAGTCAGACACCGAGATTTGATGGACTTTCCAGCATAGCTGCTGAGCCTCGGGATCAAAACCCAGACAAAAAGCCCTTCTTGTGCCGGGGCTGTAACATCCCCTGTCCCACGGGGCTGCAGCCTGAAAGGACCGGGAGGGCAGTGGAGGACTGATGAATGCAGATAACACCCTGAGCCTGTCATTTCGGGATGCATTATTTTAGACTGATGCAGGTTATGATTTGATCTTAGATTAGCTGGATAGAAGGAAAGGGACAGCTAGCTGGAAAGGAGGAAAATTAATTGTCCAGCAATTGAAACACAGTGTTTACAATCGCTGAAGATAAAACGCATTTCAGTGAATCTCGTGTGCACGGGCTATTAACTCCAGAGATAAACGGGCCGGCCTTCCACGTGCAAATCGCTCTTGTAAGTGTCCCTTTGCGTGGGCAGCAGAGATCCCCTTGCACGGAGCATCCCACACCCCAAACCTGCTGCCAGGAGCAGGCAAACCGTGAAACGCGAGTCGGATGCCCGGGCGGTTGGTTTAAAGGCAGGTTATCCCTTCTGCCCAAGGCTGTGCTCTGCAGTGCGAACCTCTCCCGGCTGAAAGGGTTTACACACGCACATCTCACCGCAACGGCCCTGATCCGCACTTCAACAGAGACACGCGTTTATTGTCTTCTTTCGGATTTAATCTCTAAGCAATTCGCAGAACAGGGATGCAATTAGCCACAGGCTGAGCTGCATCCCTGGCTGCTGGGTGAAGGCAAACTCGCTGAGCACGCTGCTGGGCACCGCTGTAGGTTCCTCTTACCGGAGAGCCACCCTGCCTCCCTGAGCATCCCACTCGCGTTTTACGGTTTTAGTCCTTTTATTATTTGGGGGTTAAGTCCCAGAGTGTGGCATTGTGCAGGAACTTGCCCCCCATGGCAGATGGAGACACCCCTCCCCACCAAGATGCGGCGCAGGGGGGAAATTCTCTCACCGTCGGTGATCTCCATCTCGTACGGAGAGGGTCTCCGCTTCACCCGGTTGCTGCCGTACATGGAGAAGGAGTCCGGTTCGCCGAAAAACCCGCTGCGAAGAAAGGCAGACAGGCCGTGAGGACACACCGCCATCCCCCCGGCCCGGCCCGTGACGGGGGCTGCCCCCGGAGCGGCGGCAAGCGGAGCGGCTCCGTGACCTCGGAGCGAGCTCGCCGCTCACGAAGCCGAGCCGGGGTCGTGCGGTGACACCACACGCGGCCAGCCGGGGACACGCAGCAAGAGACGCCAGCCCTGCGCGGGCAGGGGGATGTGAGCGGCGTGGGGCGTCCAGGGGTGCGGCTTTGGGTAAAATCCCCCCATTCTCGCGACTCTGTGCCGCCCCGCAGGCGGGCCGGGTGCGCACCGCAGCTTTCCCTGGGCGAGGCGGGGTCCGTCCCCGCACACCCCCGGGCTGGCTCAGCCCCTGTCAGAGTCTCTGCTGTGCCCTTCGCTCATTTGCGGGACTCGTCGGAGAACAGAGAGAGCCCGGGGGGCTCGGAAGGGCTAAACCGGTTCTCGTCCGTTTATTGACGGATCCCTTCGATCTACCCAGGGCTTTACCACCGCAAATATTTCTCCTTCGAGGAACGAGTTTTTCGTTTTTGACTTTCCCCCCGCCTTTTCCCTTTCTCTCTTTGCAAAGTTCGCGTGCAAACCCGCGATGAGTAAGCGACGAGCCCCGCGCAGAGGAAGGGATGCTGCTGCTTCTGCTCCCGCATCTCCGCCCCGCGCCTCCCGCCTCCCCAGCACCGCGCGGGACACCCCTGGGGGAGCTCCGGGATGGGGATGGGACAGGGGGGACACGGACCTGTTGATGGTGGCCAGCGGCTGGCCCAGGTTGTAGAGCATGGCCCTGCCGGGGGGCTGCAGCGGGAGCGCGGGGGGGCTCAGCTGCACCATGCGAGCCTCGCAGGCGGCCTCGGCGGCGCGGCACGGCTCGGCTCCCGGCGCTCTCTGCATCGCCTCCCCCGCCGCCTCACGGCTTTTTATGTCCAGGGAGCCCCCCCGGCGCACCAGCTCGATGACGGGCACAGGGGCGGCGGGGGGCCCGGGGGAGGGCCGGCCCGCCTCCTTGGCCGCCCCGTTGAGCAGCAGCTGGGGGTCCGCCGGCGCCTCCATGCCCCCGCGGCTGCTCTCCGGCTCGCTCGTGGTCTCCGCTTCCGAGTCGTGCCGCCGGGCGGGGCGGGCATCGCGGGGGTCACTGGGGGGCGGCGGGGCGGGCGGCCTGTCCATCGTCCTGCGGAGAGAGGCAGCGCTCAGCGGCGGCCCCGCACCGGGAGCACGGCCGGGCTTTGCCCCTGCACGGGCACCGCCCGACGGGGGGGCCGCGTCGGGGCTCAGACCGCGCCGGTGACGAACGGGGCAGTTCCTGATCACCCCAAATAATTTTAGAGTTTGCTGGCGGGAGCGGGGGGGGGAGGGGGGGTCTGTGGGTCCACCCCGCCGAGCCGTGCGGTGCCGTGACGTCACGGGGCGCCCCAGCCCTGCCGTGACGTCACGGGGGCTCGCGGAGCGGCGCTTTGACGTCGCGCAGCGCCCCGGTCCCGCACGATGGGGACGGGCCGGAGCCCCCGGCGGGCTCCCGGCGCTCCGCGGGGATTCACACCGGCACCGCCGGGGCGGCCGAGCGGCGAGGGGGCTCGGGCGGCTCCCGCAGCGCCGCCGCCGAGGGTGCGGGTTAAATTGCGCGGCCAAATCGCGGCGGAGGCCCAGCACACATCCCCGCTTTTCTGGGGGTATTTCTCCCCGTTTTGGGGTCCCCGGCGGTGTTCGCTGCCCTGCGGAGCCAGCTCAGCCGCCGCCCGGCCTGCCCGTAGCGGCCTTAGCCTCGCGGGCGGCCTCTTCTCCTCCCATGATTGTTTTTTATTGTTATTTATAAACTATCGAAATATACCTGAAACCACTTTTTGGGGGAGAGGGGGTTAACCCAACCCCTAACGGAGTCAATCCCCCCGCGCATTCGCTACCGCAGGAAGGAGGAAGGGGCCCGGCCGCGGCCGCACGCACAGCATTGTCCCCTTCTCCCACAGAACAAATGCTGTCGCGACAGGGCACCTCACGCCTCGGGCAGATATCGCGATTATTTCTATGCTTTATCTCCCACATATGCCCTCGTTCGTTTTTGGATTTTGTTGTTGTTGTTGTTTTGGTTGATTGATTATTCTTTTCTATATAAATAAGGAGCTTTACTGAGCAGAGAGCTGCCACCCATCCTTCTCGCTCCTTTGCCTCGGGTTATTTTTTATTTCGTTTCTGATAAACTGAGTCGCGAGAAAAAAAAAATAACAACCAAAAAAACCAAACCAAAGCAAAAACCCAACCGTTTTTTTTGCCATATATCACTATCTCTCTGGAAAATAAAATAAAAAAAATTTACAACCACCCAACCTAAAGCACAAGTTTTCTGCCTTCCCTCCGGCCACCTTCCCGCCAGCCCTCTAGAAAGAAAAATCTAATTGCCTATTCCGATATTGTATAGGAAGAGATTACTCACATGTGTCATATTTAAGTAGGGACACCGCAAGTCTCTCCTGTTTCAACAAAAGCGCTCTCAGTGTCAGGCTGAATTTACTCCTCCCACCTCAAGGTACTTACGACTTTACAGAGAGGAAGGACACCCGCATCGGGATAAAACTGCTAAATCCTGGGAGGAAGAGAAGGGGGGGAGAAAAAAATAAAAAAAAAAAAAAAATCTCGTGGGTCCGGATTGCCAGAGATCAGTGGAGGGAGAAAGGTGCAGGGGAGAGGGAAGGAGGGGACAGCACCCCGGGGAGGCCCCTGTGATAGGGGACAGCGGCCACCCCCGGGTCCCCCCCCCGCCGCCGCCGGGAGCCGCCGCCTCGCACACGGGGCCACAACGAGCGACGGCCATGGTCTGGCGTGGAAAAAAAAAAAATAAACAGAGAAAAAAAAAAAAAAAAAAGGCGTGAAAAAAAGCGCCCTATATTTGGGGCGAATTGGGCGGTTTTTTGGACACATTGCAAGCCCGGTCTTCCCGGGAGGAAATCACAGACGGGGCCGGACACGGGGTTGTTTTTCTCCCGATGGGCTCGCACGAAGCGGCGACGGCGGCGGCGTTTCTCCCACGTCCGGCTGGAAAATTTAATTCCTAAAGGGGCAAATTAAATTCCTCAAGGGGCCGGTTACCGGCCGAGGAACCGCGACAGCCGGCACCGGGCCGGCGGCGGAGTGAGCCCGCTCCCCGCCGCCCAGCCACAGGAAGGTGAGGCCGGCTCACCCCGCCAACGAAATCACGAAAAATGAGGTTTTCCCCTTGGTAAAAAAAGGAATAATCCCGATGGCGTCTGTTCCCGCATTTGTTAAAAAACGAAATACGCAAACCCGCAAAGATATCAGCAGAATTTTGCCTTAAATTGGGGTGGTTTCGTTTAGAAAAAAATGGAGGGGGGGCATTAAATCCCCGCCCGCTGGTTTCTGCTTCGCAAAATCCTTTTGTTTTCCAGCAGCCGATCGGCAGGAAATTTCCAACCCAAAAGCGCACCTCTCCAGCCGGCCCTTTGTAGGGAAATCGCCCCAAAGCGAAGGGGCGGGAGGCAGCGGGATATGGGGGACCCCGTCTCGGGGAGAAGCGCTCAGGTTCGGGCTGTCGGTCGGGCCGTGTCCCGCTGTCTGTCCCTGTGGAGAGGCTGGGGCAGCCAGGCCCGGTGGGCGCTTCGCCCCCAGCGCCCCCAGCCCGCCCCAGCCGCAGCCCGAGGGTCCCGGGGCCGCGGGGGTGCCGCACCCCAAATTTCAAAGGGGAAAGTGTATTCTCCTCCTCACCGACCCCGCATCAAAGAATAAAAAGATTAAAATCCAACCGCGGAAAAGATTTTGTGTTTTTTCTCGTCTCTCATGTGGGGCAGAAGCCCCCAAAAGCTCCCTCGGTGCCCTCCGAAGCCCCCCAAAACCACATCCCGCCGCCCCCAGCGCCCAGACTTCTGCAGAGCCGATTCCTCTTTACTCACCATTTGCTTTTCATTGGGAAAAGTGAGTGGAGCCATTTTGTGGCCTACGCATCGCGGCTATATTTGTAGTAAGTGTTGGGTGGCTTCAGCTGGGTAGGCTCTAATTCCACATCACGTCCAGTTTCCTATTTAGTATGGAGAGCGGAACACTACTGCAATGTGGCCGAGAGAGATAAAACCCCAGCAGTGGCCCGCCTGCCCTGATAAGCTTCTAAACCCATTATTTATGAAATGATTCATTATTATTTGGCAATTTTATCGAAGGAAAGCGGAAAATTATTGCAGGGATATGCATAGGAATAACTCCGGAATGCATGCCTTCTAGCTTTTTATGTGTGTGTGCTTAGATGCTCTTAAAAAGACACTAAAAAAAAAAAAAAAAAAAAAAAAAAAGTAATAAAAAATTGCACTGTGGCTGCCCGCATCTGAATAGCGATTCTTTATTTTAGTCCTCTTGGAGGTTATTATGCCCCTGTTTTGTTTTTTTTTTTTGTTTTTTGTTTTTTTTTTTCTTTTTTTCTGTTTTTTTTTTTAATTATTATTATTAAATATGGAACACCTACTCCGTTCTTAATTAAATTTAATGAGCCAAAATAAATGGTTAGAGATGTTGAGAGAGGGGGAAAGGGTGTGGGCTGCTTTGGGACAAGAGGAGGTAAATAAAGCACATCGAAAGGAGATGTTTTGGAGAAAACCGGCCCCAATCCCCAGCCTTCCCCCCCAGCACTGTGTATTTTTGCTGAAGGGCTGAATTGGGGCGATCTCCCTGTCTCGTCTCCGCTTCTGGGGTGGGAGGAGGCCGAGCATCCCTGCCGAGATGCGGGATGCTGGGGAGCGTGAGTGGAGCGGGTACCGAGAAATTTGGAGGAGAGGGGCTTGGGGAAGGGAGCGAAGGGCCCTGGCTCGCCCCGCAGCAGTGCGCGGCAGCCAGCGGGGCTGGGGCCGGGCTGCGCGCCCCGTCGGGGCAGGGGCTCAGCCGGGCTGCGGCCAGCTCCGGGCCCGGGCAGGGACCCCCGGCCTGGCCAGAGCCCCGTGCCCCCGGAGCGGCTCGTGGGGCGTAGCGGGGGTCGCGGTGCCCTGCGCGGCGATCGCAAAGCGACGGGAGGCGTGAAAACCTCCCCGAAATGCCCAAGGCTCCCGGCATGGAAAGGGGGAACGCACGAGTGGCTGGAGGGTCCCGGATCCGGCATGGAAAGGGGGAAGGCAGGAGTGGCTGGAGGGTCCTGGATCCGGCATGGAAAGGGGGACGGCAGGACTGACTGGAGGGTCCCAGATCCGCTCCTCGGGGCACCCGCGGGCAGCGCGGCCCTAAAGGCAGCGGCGGGGAGCGGGTTTGGACAGCTCGGGGACCGGCCCGAGCGGGAACCCGAAAATCAACGAAATCACGGCCGGCGCGGGGCGGTAGGGAAGGGGCCCGGGCTGAGCCCCTCCCGGGACACCCCCGGTCCCCTGTGCGGGGCTGGGGCCGTGCGCGGGGCCGGGGACAAGCGGCGAGGCCCGGCCGCACCTGCCGTGGGGCGGGGGGCGGCGGCGGGGCCGGGGGTCGCTATTGTCTCCCCGCCACCTGCGCGCCCTCCGCAGGGGGAAATGCCGGAGCTGTTATTCTTCCTTTCACTCCTTCCCCTCAGCCTCCCGCTCTGGACGCGGCCGTGGGAGAGGTTTCCACAAGCCCCGGGCGCTCCCCCCGGGGCCGGGGCCGTGTCCCGGGCGGCAGGAGCCCGCACGATGCTGGCGGCGTGCGTGGGGCGGCGGGGCAGGGGCGGTCACGACGCGCCGGAGAGCCCGCCGTGCCTCCCGCCAGGAAACACGACCATTTTCGAGCCGGCTCCTCTCACCAACAGGAAGCGTTAAAGATAGAACAGCCGGGGCTGGGCGGGGGAGATTAGGAAGCCGAGCATCTTCTGAGCACCGAGGGCTGCTGCGGGGACATTGCCAGCCGTGCCTGTGCCCGCTGCGGTGGGAGACGGGGCCGCGCTCAACCCGCCTCCGGCCCGCGTTTTTACTTTACTGGAGAGGGATGGAACCCTTCAGTCAGGGTGGGGAGCACCAAAATGATCCAAAGTAAAGCGGTCAGTGATGTTCTGAGCGGGCTCAGCACCTTTTCAGCTAGCACTAGAAATATCTTAGTTTTAATAAAGAATAGCTAGAAACTATAGAAGAAAAAAAAAACCCACCAAAAAAAAACCCCCAAAACCCAAATCGATAAAGCCATGCCATCACCTCACAAGCCAGCTCTGGAGCTTGGGCCTCAGTGGCCTGTTAACAAAGCCAGACCTGGCTTAATGTGTGGGGTTTTTTTTACCTCACTCAGTGGCCTGTTCACAAAGCCAGACCTGGCTTAATGTGTGGGGGTTTTTTTACCTCAAATTGCAGTGAATGCTTCAGGGGGAAAAAAAATCCAGACATCTTGAAATTACTCAGCACCACACTATGAAAGGAAAATGCTGCTTAAAGGGAAGGATGTTTTTTGTTGTTTTGGTCCAGTAAATTAACATTTTGCTTGCTCGGAGGTTGCTGTCCAGGATTATATGCCTTGTGTAACTTATTATAACACCACACCCTTGTCCTGAGCTGTGTGCAAGTAGTTTGGCTTTTGTTTTCAAATTGTTCCTAGCCCTTGAGCATTTGAAGAAAGTCTTTAAAATATTAACCAATACAGCTGTCATCTTCCTGTGTTTCCAGACGTTTTACAATAGGAAACAAAGAACAAAACCCTGCAACAATAGCTCAGAGGTATGAATTGCCTCATTCATCTCACTGGAATGTTCAAAAACATTAACTATTTTTTGACTGATTCAGCAGAAAATGTGCTGGCAGATAATAAGCTTATGCCTGATCCAGGGGAGATTCAGGGACTGAGAAAGGTTTTATTTTTCAGCACAGTAAAGTAGCACCTTTCCTGAAAGGAAGCTAATATCCTTGTTGATGGAAGAGGCTGCGTGAGAGGAGAAATTCTGGCTTAAAAGGAGCTGCTGCCTTCCTCTCTCTGTACTGGCTTCAAAACAGCACATGGTTTATCTTAGCCCAATTCTGTAATAAATTAATTAGCAAATAGTGCCCACTCAAACATACCAAGAACACTGCAGCCCTTAGGATGTGACTGGGAAAGGCCCAGGATTTCAGTACAGGGTGTTTTAATCTCTGGTTTAACACTCAGAACAGGAAAGGCAAGGTCAGCACCAGGCTGAACTGCTGTTGAGACAATGCCATCACTAAAACAAAGTTTGTTCCAAAGCCTGTGAGAGAATGCTGATGCACCTAAAAGGCCAGTGAGAAAACACATGGCTCCACCAGGAATCCCATGTCCTCACACCAGGAATGGTGGGAATGGGAATGAATCACCACTTCCAGCCCAATTCTTCACCTTGTGCAATATTATCATCACAAGATTATGGAAAAGAGCTGCTTCATTAATAGACTGGAGTGCTTAGTGACAGAATATTTATGTGTTCATTCAGAACAAAGTAATTATTTCTGCTTACCCCACCACCCAGTATCAGATTCCTGACAAGTTCAGCAGCAGGTGAACCAGTGAACTCCAGGTTACCCATTTTAACAATGGCTGGGAAGCCACATCTGTCTTAAATAAAGGTAGCATTAGTCAAATGAAGATTAATTTTTTTTAATGAAACCTTTGACCTTTATCAGCAGTATGTAATTTTAAATAAATAGAAAACATAGAGGTGAAAAAAATTACAAGTCTTAAAAGTGCCAGCTTTCCCCCATTTCCTTCAAAGATTTCATGATACAGAGAGTTACATGTGCCATTTTGGCTGAATTCAAAATAATGTTACACAAAATAAAGCCAAAGTTATATTTCCCTTCCCCACAGACCCAATCCACAAACAGGAATCCAACCATTTCAGCAAACTTCTAAAAATTAGTGCTTTAGCTCTGTTACCCCTGCTCTGCCACCTTATCAGTGGCAGAGCAGTTGGCACAAACATGGAAAAGTCTGTTTTTAAAAAGTCAACCAAAGAAAACAAGTAATCACCACTGTTAAAATTATGTTAAAAGTACATCTTGGGCTCAGGTTCATTCACCTTCAATATGCTTTAAAATCAAACCAACTGTAAACAAAAGTGCACACATATGTCTATGCTGATCAGCACTGCTTCAGCCAGGCACTTTGAGGTGGCTGTCCCTGAGCTGGCTGGAAACTCAGTTCTGCAAGTTTTACATTGCTACAACAGAGTGGCCTCTTCAAAGAGAGCTCAATCCGTGGTTTCCTGTACTCTTACAGAGAGGTCCCTCTGATTTGAAGCAGTGGTTGCAGCCATCTCAAGGGATGTTCAGAACAGCTTTGGTAATTGCCTGAGTTGTTTGACATCAAGAATGGTGCCAACAGAGTTGATGCTGTTTGACTGGTTTAACATTTCAAGAGTTGGAGTGTGCAGATTTCCACGGAAGGCCTGAGTATCTCCTTCATCTTTCCTGACAGGTTGTTCAGTGAATTCAACCTTCCCAGGTAACAATCTGGTTTTTGATTTTAAATCCTTTAGGAACTGAAGTGAGTTTTTATCTGCTTGATCTGTTCTGGGAGGAAAAATTTCATTTGTAATGTTTCTTAACACAGGGCTGTTTAATTCTGGTGGAGAAGCATTAGTAGCCAACTCTCTGCTGTGACTTTTTAGGTGAATGGGAAGTCTTCCATCCACTCTTTTGGGTAATTCAGTCTGGTGGCTGCAGCTGTCCAATGCAGGGGCACAGTTTTTGTCTGGAATGCTTTTGCTTTTGACAGTGCCAAAATTGCCATCTTGAGCCTGCAGTTCCTCTTCATCTTCACTGCTGTCACTGCCCTGTATCAGCCCATATCGCTTCATGTACTTCTTGGTTGCAAAGGACATGTTGTTGGGTGAAATTAAACTCAGACCCACCATGCTCTTGTCTGTATTTGTTTGCAAGATGTCTTGGAAGGAGAAATCTGTGGGAGGAGTTTGGCCTGAGCGACTGAGAGACAGTCGGGACAGCTGATTTTCACTGAGGTATTTCAGGGCTATGGCGTTTGCTTCCATGCTCAGATCAACAACGTTGGGACACATGCTGACATTGGCAAGTAACATGGAATTTAATCCAGGCACCACAGCTTCAGGACTTATGCACGCCAAGATGCTGAAATAAAGCATCAAAAAGTTACCTTAGCATTAGAGGAA